GTTGGCTTTTATCGGCTTTTCTTATTTCAAGTTAACTACATATACTCCACACTAACTTTTCTACTTCTTTATTGGAAACAGAACATTTTTCGAAAGAGAAAACTCGGGAGAGGTGATAGGGTAGGGAGAACTTAGAGAGATAATAAGTGGGGGTGGGTGACGGGGGAGCACGGATTGTACCAGCGGAGGAGTTTTCGAAGGGTGCGGGGTCGAATTTTGCATTTTTCCTCAACGCAGGACGTGCACTGCACTCTACCCTCACTACCCTGTCGACGCTAATGAGTTGGAGGAATTACTTGACCGCGCCTCCATATCCCTTCCACTATCAAAGCTCAGGCTTAGCAGAGGATAATACTCTCAATGGGCTATCTAAACCCGCCAAAAGATATTCCCAAAGAGTCTTCACTGAACCCGACCGCTTGAGTAAGAGATATAGAGATGCTGCCAAGTGGTTGTTAGCTTCCCGGTTCTTATCGTGGGTGTAGTTTTGAACATAAAGACGAGGCACTGCGAGTAAGTTTTCGTAGTTAGTTGATTCGACGCAGCACTATGTTGTTAGATCAGTTGCGTCATGGCAGGCCACATCCCACATCGTTTATTTGACGGTTTAATCTCGAGCTAAGCCGCCATGACACAGCTGGCGACACCAGAGTGTTGTGTCAAGGCAACCAAGAATTGTCTCTTGAGCTCAATGCCGCGCCTGCGTGCTCTGAACTACACCTTCTTGACTTACTAGACGCGCTAAGCGCCGTAGCGAGCACCTCGCAGCCTTGTCCAAACAGTCCTACTGTCCTCTGGTACTTGAAGAATTGATCCAAAAACGATTGAGGCGAGCAATACTGGGTTTCAGCGATGATATTGCAATATTATAGAAAAATGTTAATCAAATGAATAGAAACAGTCAAGGAGTTAGCTTTCTGCATAATTTCCTGGAAATATGTTTATTATTTACTGTTTGCAGAAGTATACTCTGCTTCAGGATACCGCTGACTCCGCTGAAACCAAGGTTCGTGGTGGGCAAACCGTTCGCTGTCCTTGGCTTCTTCTTGGAGGTGTTGCAAGTAGTGTGGCTGCTGATGAAGAAATTATCAGAGTTGACCAAGCTAAGCCTGGAGATGTTTTAATACTTACGAAACCGATTGGTGGTCAGGTTGGTGTGCTTCAAGGTTCTGCTCCTGGCTCACCTCATCTGCTGCTTTCTCCTCCGTTATCTTTTATCCCATTTTCTGTAGGTCATAAATTTCATGTGGCCTTTGACTTTTCTCAATCCTTCTTTTGTCATGTTTCCTCTTCCTCCAGAACTCCAATACATCACTTGGGAGGGTAAGCTAGCTGTGAAAACGTTTTGAGTGTGTGACGACTACCCGTGCACTTCAATTGGCTAAAATATTTGACCATTTTTTTGGAGTGCTGTAGTGACGTTTCCAGGTTGCTGTCAACTCTTACGAATGGCTGAAAAAGAAGAACGGACGAGTTGAAGAGTTAGGTCTCGATGAAAGCAAAATCGTTCGTGCTTTTCAGCAGGTTACAGAGCAAATGACACGACTGAATAGGTCATCATTAGCTTAGCATCTCGCTAAACACTATTACTTATGAGTATTTACAGGAAATGCTGCAAGAATGCTCCATAAGTATCATGCTCATGCCTCCACTGATGTGACTGGGTTTGGACTCCTTGGTGAGTTGCGATGAATCATTTGAATTGAGAATGCTCATCAGATTTAGTATTTAATATGATTCTATCTTATTATAGGCCATGCGGACAATCTTTCGCGTGCTCAACAGGCAAACGTTCGTTTTGTCATCGATACGCTGCCGATAATTGAATACATGGACGAGATCGCATTGAAAATGCCAAATCGAAACGGTTTCAATCTATTTGGAGGAACATCTGCAGAGACAAGTGGAGGTCTGCTCGTAGCTGTAAGCCCTGAAAACGCTGAGGTGAGTTCCCTTATACGTTGGGTTTACTTTTTTCTTCGTTAGGGAGAGACTACATTTTTTGCAGAAAAAGCCTTCCACGATGAGCTAATCTGTAACCCTAGCTTTATCTTACCATTGCCCTACCTTAATGTGGTTTACCGCTAATAAGTCCACCCCAACGACCTAACTGTGACACGACGACCTCTGTCCTGTCCGCCCATAATTAGGTAACATCGAATTTATTGCATAAGCGAGCTATACCTCTACGCTTCCTTCTTTCTCTCTTCTCTCTCCCTCTCTCTCTCTCTCTTCTCCTCTCTCCCCTCCACCACCACAGTTGTCTTTGTTCACCGCTTGCTCGTCTAGTGCTAGAAGTCAACCTCAACCTCTTTTCACCGGCTTTTGTACTTTGTTCTGTACTGGTAAGTTATCGAACGATCGGAAAAGAAAAGTCTTCGTTGTTGGCGACCTCCTTTTTCTGAAATGCCGCGCGTTCTACTTCTTTTCAGAGTCGTAGTGCCTGATTGAATGCTATGTGGCCTAGATCTTCTCCTCTCACACGAGTCTGGTACCAGTATGCGATCCCCGGAGGATAGAAGGCTGTATGGCCTGGGGCTGTAGCATTGGTTTGGCCTGCAGACCGCGCAATTGCTTGCTGACTTCAGCTTCTACAAGGACGTGTTGAGGGGTGTAGTGGCAAATAGCACTCCCAGCACGCGCGCGGTCCTGGGGTCAAATCACGGATCGGCTCCTCTCCAAGGCACGCAAGCCTTTTCTCACCGGGGATGGCAGATTGATACCAAATTCGTCTCGGAGGATAAGAACTCTTGTATGTACATCGTATGCCTCCCAAGGCATTCAGTCGCAAGTCACTACCATGTCTTATTCTGATTTATTTCGGCAGATTTGGGGCTAATTTACTGTGGTTTCCAATTTCTTAAAAGGTAGTAGATATTGGTATTTCAGCCCTTTATCCGTGACATGGAGTCGCTCGATGGTTTCCCAGCCTGGATAGTTGGCCATGTCGAAGCATTAAGCGGAGAACAGAACCACGCTATCATCAGCGAAAACTACAAAGTGATATCCGTGCCATCGAAAATCCACGGCTGATTGTAGATGTCGTACGCAATGAGCTCTTTTCTTTTTGAAATCAGTTGGTCATAAGTGCTAAAAGTTTTAGTAGTAGTGATCGACTTTGTTAAGGTTTCTTTATCATACTTGGGCGCTGTTCCTTTCGTGGGGGGCATTCACACTTTCATTGGCTTTTGTTATTACCTATTACATGCCCCACATTGGTAAGGCCTGTAGACTCTTGTCAAGTGTAAGTGTTGCAAAGCTCGACAAGAACAGGTGGCCACAGAAAGCATCGGCAGGGATAGGTACCAACAAAATGCTCCGACCATGACAAACAGCGTCCGAGTTTGTTTTCATATTCTTCGCTTGGGTCTCGTGTTGTGATGTGCGTAATGTTTACAGTACGGTGTTATCACGCTTGTCATTGTTGAGTTGTTTACTTATTATGACTCCTTTTACGTTTATATTTTGTTAAGAACTTGATTAACATGTCCTATTGTATAGCTCCCGGTTGCATCTTCAATAAATTGATTTGTATGTTCCAACAATTTGGTGAGCTTTTGGAAAATTCCTTGTTTATACTTCGGTCACCATTGTGGGAGATTTATTGTTGCTTCAGCACGCGGTATCTAAACGAGTTTTCGAGGTGAGCGGTCGTAGAATTTCGTGTTTGATTTCGGTGATGAGTCACTAGGCAGGGGGTGGGACCTGATGCTTACGCAACGCACCTTGGCTTTTTCATTTACTCTCGAAAATTCTTGTTCTTCTGGCAAACTGCTTATTTTCAAGAGGTCTAACTAGCTTTTGATAGGGTTTTCGTTCCTTTGAACCTTCCTTTGGAACATTGCTATTTTCAAATTCGGAATTCCGTCACATTGAAGTAATTTATCAAGATTTTTCAAATTAAAATAATAATCGTTGGATATAGTAGCACTATGAAAACGGGAGCGATTATTCGAAGAACTTGCGATTTCGAGTTGACGCTGAAGATCTCCCGAGAGCGGGTTTTATGGCGTTACAGCATTTATTACGGGTCGGCATCCCAGAAATTTTAACACCTTGGCATTACGTTGATTTTTCCTCTCACGTGAACCTCTGGTTGTAAAATTAGCTAAGACTCGCCTGAGAAAGGTGCGTAACGAACTTTTTGTGTTTTTAAAACATGTTCTCTCATAATCCCGTTTATTCATTCTTTTTTGATTAGTCCCGATGTCCTGTGTGTGAGGACTGATGGCTAAGTCGCTGAAAGTGGCAATGTTGTTTTCTATACGTTCTCATATTTTTTACAGTATCTTGGTTCCGAAAGCTTCACGTTTTGAGGCGCTAAAGAGTTTTGGCGAGTAAATCAAGCGCATTTCGTAAACACCTTGTCGGGGGCACCGTGTAAAGACCTTGTTGCTGCCACATTGGCTCGCTTGTGCTGCTCCACAGCTTCACAAAAGCTCACTGTTTCACCAATGTGCAAACCTTCCTCTTCCCCTCCAGGCTGAACAGTGCCTACTTCTTCTT